AAGGCTCGGCTTCAAAGCCTCGAACACAGGCGTAAGGTTGCAAGCCTTTCGGTTTTCTACCGGATACATTTCGGTGAGTGTGCGGGGGAATTGCACAACTTGATTCCCCCTAGTCCTTTCCATCATCATACCACAAGACAGTCGGCGAAGCGTCACCGATTCATGGTAGATGTTCCGCCCACACGCACGAAGCGCTTCGCTTCAAGCTTCCTTGTGCGTACTGCTAAAGAGTGGAATTCTTTGCCAGAGTCTGTATTTCCTGAAGGGTGTAACCTAGGAGTTTTCTAGGTCTGAGTGAATAGGTTGCTTATGGGACGACGTGCTCCATCGTAGACCGCATCATCGTGCACCACCAGGCGAGATACTGGTCAAACGTCGCCCCATCAAATACAAAAAAAAAAAAATAGTAAAGGTATCGTCTTTTTTAGTTTATAAGATATTCATCAACTTCCACACATGAGACATTAGTTGTTACCATCGACATTATACTAATGGACATGCCGTACGCGTGTAATCTGCAGTATTTTTTTGGTTTGAAAAGAGTGAGAAAGATGGCCTATGCTTTCGGTTTAGCGCTATCTCTTTCTCGCTCATATTTTGAGAGAGATAAAGACCGAAACTTCGTATCCTCTCTTTCTTTCGGAGTGCCACAATTATCATCTCTAAGGCATGTCCATTAGTATATGTCGATGGATGTAACTTTGTAGTTTTGCTTGAATACCCGTACCTATATGAAACACAATAGAAAATACAGTGTCTCGCGTGGATCCACGTTTAGATACACGAGGGGTTAATAATGTACTATGAGTTCGTATGCGCTTTCGAAGTTTGTTTTTTACAATCGTTCATCGATTATTTTTTGTTTTTAACTGACTTTAACTGTGGGAGAGCCATGCTTCGCAAGTGTGGGAGAGCCATGCTTCGGCACGAATGGGCCGGCTCGACCAGAGTGATACCACGGCCTCACAGAAAACCGACGTGAAGCAACGCTTGCGTTGTGTTTCGTCGTGTGAGTAAGTTTACCGGAGGCCCAATTACCCTCCCCTTCCCCAATCTCCCCAACGATCCTCAAACTCCTAATCCCCAAAAGGCTCGTAACGCACTTGTAACGCCTCTGGTGTTCCAGGTGTCCATGGGCGACGCCGATTGCTTACCATCAGGTGATCCGTCTGCTCGTTTACTGGCTTATGCCATAAAAAAAGACCTCCCAAAAGTGGGGAGGTTATCAATTCGGCTGTATATTTTTTTTTGGGTGTTAACATACACCTACCTGATTACTCCGACGTTTGTGGATGGATTTTGATGATTATTTTTTTGTTGGAAGGTGAAAGGCTAGGAGAACTTTTTAAAATTGTATGGGTTGCGAGAGCGTTTGTAATTTTTTTTGATATAGTATTTGAAACCACTACAATTTGATGAAGGTATGGAGTTGATCTGATAATGAAGTCAAGAGACAGCCGAGGGAACTCCTCGAGGATTTGTAGCAATGACCCCGTGTTTGGGCTTAAATTATTTGTATTGAGAAGATCTTCACATCTAGATGGGATGTACTAGTCAGTGCGTGGGTAACTTATAAGTACGTATGAATAATAATAGTTATTTTTTGCTTTTTAGTTTTTACCTTTTGTTTATTTGTAGGTTTTCGTTTTTGAAGTCGGTTTTTTAAATATACTGATTTTTATCATGTGCAATAAATTCGGAGAAGCGGACAGATGGCGGGTTACCGGGGCTCCGGCTCGAAGTGCAGGAGAAGGAACGGGGTGGGTTTTAGTCAGTAAGAGTCTGACTCTCTATCGCCTCACCCAGGCAAAAGGACCATTGGATTACTTTAGCCCCTCAAAAATAAATATAGGTACTAAAAATGATTTTATTTTGAAACTGATTAAATCCGTTTTGTAGATCTTGTTACCTACCCAGAACCTCTTTCATGGGATTTCAATATTCGGTTATACTTTTGGCTTCCTTTTAACCATCCATAATGATCCATCGAAGACAGATTTTGGGAAAATATAACGAACCGCATGTATCTGTGGCCAAAATTATTAAAAACTGAACATTATAATTAATTCAATAAATAATTTCCTTTCTTCCTTTCTATCAGTATTGAGACGTAACTGCTTGACGAGGAACTCACCAAGAGCAGCGTGACAGTCGCCGAATTGCGTGTCGCAGAATGCTGCTCGTGGATATGAGCCTCCAGCATGACTTGAAACATAGAAATCTTGAAACTAGTCTAGTTCTTCGTCAGACAGTTACGCGGGTAAGCCAAAACAATTATTTAATACTTTTGTTCTAGTGGTCGAGCGTGTCAGATATTTATTGTGTACAATGTACATGCTCCATATGTCTCTGATAATGAAAAGCTCTTAATCTGCCAGTTTGTATGGTGGGGTTGAATGTTTTGGGGGGTACAAACGAGAACCCTTCAAAATACCCCACTCTTGCAAATCAAGCTCGAATGGGCAGATTTTTAAACTCTCTTCCTTTAGCATGCTATCGACCTCTGTTCCCTTAATCTGACAAAACTGACTTTATTTAGTCACATTTTTTTAATCCACCTTTCTAATCAGGGCTCTTACTCTTGAAACCAATCTCAATGTCAATGCAATTTGAATCCAATAAAATCTCAATAATTATTCAATGTCAACACTATACAACCACAATCGTAGCTGTTACAATAGCATTCAGAGTACGGAATATAAAGCCAAACTCAATACCATTTAGTTCATTCAATATCCACGCAATACGGATGCAATGGGCGCTAGTGTTACAACTCAAGAGTACGTTTCACAATACCAATGTCGATCGATCGGAATTGGATTCAAGAGTAAGCCGGTGCGGGTATATGGTGGGTGGGTATTTATATTCAACATGACTCTAGGTTATCCTCATATGTTAATCTGACGCGCTCGAGCTACTACCGAAATCCCTTCTTGGGCTCCTCTATTGCAATCACAGCTCCAAACGTATCGAATCGTAAAAAGTCTTAGTAAGCCCTGTGTTCACTATAAAACTAGAGAACTACTGCTAGGCTAGCTGTAATTTTATATTCAAAGGTCGAAGTGAACTCAATCGCATTGATCGAGATTATTCTCATAGTCATTGGCCTTGGTTTCATTGGCCAAGTGCGACTGCCGAATAAGGGGTCTCTGGTTCAATTCCCGGGTTAGGCAAAGTATTACTGGGTTTTGCAATATTAGCACGGAGTTTGGAATTGTGCTCGGTATATAGGTAATAGGCTCGGCAATAGGCTCACCCCCTATTACATGGGACTCTTAACATAAATAGTGAAAAGTGGGTGTTACATTGTACAGTGGCATTAAACTGTCAAACACCAAGCGGTCACCGGTGACCGCAACCTATTGTTCTATAATTGTGTCTACAAAACCGGTACTCGACGAGTTAAGTGCTGTAATTTATACCTCTGCCTACCCCTTCGGGGATTAAAGGCGTAATGTTATTATGTTAATATTCTCACAACCAATGACAGGCGAGAATGCGATCGAGCTCATTTCGAATGTTCTAATTAACAGTTAGAGATTGCACAATAGCCTAGCAGGAATAAGAGCGGGATGGTGTTCAGTCAGTAAGAGCGTGACACTCTCTGGCCTCATCAAAGCCGGGAGGTCACATTGCATGATTTCCCTCCTTACAAAGGTATGTATGTATGTATGTAGGGCTCAGTCTGTTGAGTAAGGAAAATGTATGAAAGTAAGGATTTACTCTTGCGTGCCACAGAATGTCCAATCCAAGTTAGAATATTTTATATCCGCAGCGTCTTCACTTGACGGTACCGGAAAATCTGTGAACAAATGGTGAATTATGTCTTTTTTAACAGCGTTTACAGCGGCAGGGTTTCAGCTACCTGCCAATAAAAGTCAAACAAACAGACAGACAGACAGACAAGAATTATAAAATTTTAAATGAATGAAATGAAATGAAAATAGTTGTATTCGGCATACGGCATGAATGCAAGGATCAAAAATAATACAATACAATTTGACAAAGTAACAATATAAAAGTTCAACACAAGAGAGTGAGAATAAAAAGATAAATCATAAAACTAGAACAAGATAATAATAATAGGTATAACATACTGCACGATAGCCAATATCGTGCAGTATGTTATACTGCACGATAGCCAATATCGTGCAGTATGTTACATGCCCAAGCCGAATGGGTCGCCAACTCAGCTAAAAGCTGGGCACAATGAGCACCCAACACTGATTTTCAGTTGGCACCCCTGCAGTGACGCACGGACGAGAGCAACATATATACTTGTAATCTGTATAACTAATATGCCAAAATTTAATTTTAATTTTGTGGGTTCCAGGTGTAATGTTGAGTATAAATGACGAATGACGGATTTAAAATATTATTAAAATATAATTAAAATAGTTTACTGGTATTTTGGTATGTATACAGGGTGATTTGTAACTCGACGTGTTCCACTCGGGAGGTGATAATAAGTATAACTAATTTCCTTCAAAAGTAGCTCTGAGGTCTCTGGTTCGAAAGTGGCTACTTTCTGAGATATTCAACAGTTTGGTGAAAAAATCCCGAATACACTACAAAAACATTAATGAATAAAAAAACTACTAATCCAACTTAAGTGATTTTAGTTTTAATTTGTTGTCAATACTTCAATAAACTTTTATTAATACTAATACTTTCAGAAATATTATTCATTTTAAAATAGCAAGAAAATTAGTATCGTTTTGAGTCAGTAATTTGGTAAATACAAAACTGCATTTAGCTTAAAAAAATATATTACACTAAGCGTATAAACTATTAGAATAACTTCCTTGGTTTATTAGCTCACCCTATAACACTAAATTATTTATGAAGTTCTCAAAAATGTATTAATAACTTGATGATAAGTAAAATGTGAAAATAAACGCGCAATTTCTAAAATGAATCCTAGGGAAACCGAGAGGGGACTTTCGAAACTTGTGACAAAAAACGGAATCGGAATAATGAAAACGGATCTACGTAGCTTTACACTAAGAATGTTAAAATAAAAAATTAAAACTGCGTTCAAAAAACTAAAATCTAATAAGAAACAAAAAGTAAAAACGGAAAAGAAAAAAATAAGTATCATTAGTATTGATATCTGATATGTTACCAATCCCACCCACTGGTAGGTTAGAAGTCGGTGCCATAAGCTCATATTATAATGATGTAACTTACATACATACACACATATCCCACACGCAACGAAAGTGATCGGACGTGTATTTTGTCGAGTTAAATAGTTAAGATTTTGTTCTCACTAGATGGGTACGAAATGTAACGGCTGCGATGCCGATATTACTGATAAGGTGTATATGGAGTGTTCCCAAGGAAAGTGCAAGAAGCCTTACCATCTTAAATGTTTGGCAGTGAGAGTGACGACGGAGAAGTATGAAACATTTACACAAGATTATAAAAAAAAGTGGATGTGTCCAGTATGTGTAAGTGCTATTGCAAAACGAGGGAATTCCGACACCCCTGTTCGTGGAAGTACGGTGGATAAAACCTTGGCGGCTGGGGCGAGTGACGGCAAAGTAAATACTCAGCGCAGTTGTCGTCGCAACCAGAAGGAAGCGGAAACGAAATCGGTTCTTGGACACGATAACACACCAAGTGAAGTACTACAGGAGTTTCGATTAGAAATATTAGCGAGACTGGATGAGCAAATTCGACAATATGCATTACTTCAAGATAGATTTATCAAAACCGAAAATGAATTGAAAGACTTACGAAAAGTTATGGAGGTAGTTCAAAAGAAAGCGAGTAAAGTAGACCAGTTAGAAACAAAAGTGAATGATTTGTTAAAGTCAAATGAACTTCTGCGAGCTTGTCTTACTACAAAAACTTTGAATTTGGATAGTGCGGAGGGACTTGAAGCACCTACAGACCAAAATATAATTTCGTCATCTAAAACATTTGTCGATATTATTAAACAAAATCAAAAGAAGGTAACAAGCAATCCGGTGAATAATAAACCGATAAAAGAATGTGTGGCCACAAAACCAACCAGTTCTGTATCGGAAAGAAAAATACCACCATTAATCAATAAAGTGAAAGAAATTGGTGCCAGCGTAATTGAAGTAAATGATGAAGAGAAGACTATGTTAAATGGAAAAGAAAACTGGACAGTGATAAATAGGAAGAAAAGTCGATATTCTAATGGAACGGTAAAAAGAGGAGGAAATACTACAGTAAATGAAATTCAAGGAACAGAGAAACAGAAGTATTTACATGTATGGCGTCTACAGAAGGAAACGAAGGAAGAAAACTTAGAAATATATGTGAAAAACATATGCGGCTTGGAAACACCAGTGAAAGTAGAACGAATTAAGCCTAAAACAGAGAGAGATTATGCTTCTTTTATGATTGGAGTGCCTGAGAGTAAATACGACATTCTATGTCAACCCGAGAACTGGCCTGTTAATGTGGAATTCTGTGAATGGGTTTGGTTTCGTAAGCCATTTCAAAAACAAAAAACCCAGTAATAGCACTACTATCTATTATCAGAATGTAAGGGGTCTACGAACTAAAATGGAGGAGTTTTATGTTGGGCTGCTGAGTCATGACTCGGATCTTTTTGCTATTACGGAAACGGGACTAAATGAGTCAATATGTGATGCGGAATTAATCCCTCCGGGTTTCACTATCATGCGATGCGACCGCGCAGACGGAAGAAAACAAGGCGGCGCGTGTCTCGTGGCCACACCGCGAATCGAGTTGCGGCGAGTACCTGTACCCATCGAGGTAAACATTGACGACCATATTTTTGAAATAGTAGGTGCCACAGTTTATTTACGTAGTAGATTTTTATTTTGTATTTGTGTAGTTTATATCCCACCCAATAGTAGTGATAACGAATATGAATTATTA